GTATTCAACTGTTTTCAGCTCTGGCACTCAATATATATATATATCACCTATCATTAGGCCGGGCGCGGTGGCTCACGCCTGTAATCCTAGCAACAACAACTGGGTCGACACCGAGGCGGGTGGACTTGCTCGAGGCTCAAAGGGTTCAAACCAGCTGAGCAAGAGCAAGATACCCATCTCTAACTATAAATAGAAATTAATTGGCCAACTAATATATATAAGAAAATTAGCGGCCATGGTGGCAACCTGCCTGTAGTCAGCTACGGGGAGCTGGAGCAGAAGGAGTTGCTTGCAGCCGAGGAGTGTGAAGGTGCTGTGAGCTAGGCCTGACGCCACAGCACTCTAGCCCAGGCAACAGAGTGAGACTCTGTCTCAAAAAAAATATGTATATATTACCTATCATTATTGATTATAATATCAACTCCCTAACAAACTTCCCAGAGCACTGAAAGGGGACCCAGCTTACAAATCGTTCCCCACACAGCACTGCAGACGCACGGCGGGTCAGAGTGGAGCGCAGGCAGGAGGGCGCTCTCTCCAGATTGCAGGCCACCCGGGTCAAACCCATTCCGACCACTTTCTGAGCAATTGGGAAAACGGGAGGCAATGGAGGGTTGTTGCAGAGATTGGCCCAAACGTTCTCCAATCGAGAGTCCAGCTAGGCACTGGAGTCAGCGCCGGCCGGGAGGCACCAGCCGGTGGTTCCGTCAGACAAACCGCGTCCTCCCGCTTATGCGCAAACTCCACATTGGGCTTCCACTGGAGATGTGAGCTCTGCGAGGGCTGGCTTCGCTTATTCTAAAAGCGCTGGCTCCCCCGGTCTGTTTTCCTGCCTTGGCGGCAGGAGCAGCACTTTCAGAGATGTCTGTTTTCCCTGATGCAACACAGCAAGGCCGCCAGCCGCTCTTGGCTCGCGGAACAAAGGCTTGGGCTGCTCTGGAGCATTTCGGAGTAGACTAAAGCTCCCGTGTCCCCCTTCCTGGGACCGTGGCTTGTCCGGATCGTGCCATCGCTTCATCCTTCTCCTCCCTCTCTGCCCAGAAGCCTGGAGAAACGGTGGCTCTGCCTCACACGAAGGGACAGAGACCCTGCTATAAATCGGTTCCAGACGCGGGTAAAGCTCATCGGTAACACACACGGCCCCGGCCGTCCCTCAGGGAGCTACCTGAGAGGAGAGATGTCACTCGATGTAGGCCTTTGATTTTATTTTGATTGGCTTGCAGACGAAGGGGCTTCGACAGGTCCCTGCAAACTTGTGGAAGCCCTGACACGCTCTCCCTGGGGCACACGTGGCAGGACGACCAGAACAGCGCTGAGCTCAGGGAGGGGCCCTGGCAGGGACTGGGGGGTCTCTGTCCCTGTGCTGCGATCCCGGAGGACCTGCGCCTGCCGAGCAGATCTCAGCGGAACGGAGGCTGGCGTGCAGGGGTCACAGCTCTGAGCTGCCCTCGGGGCGTGGCAACTGTCTGCTCTGGGCCGGGACGCCACTCGCGATTTACGAGGACGTTTCCCGTTAGCACTAATGGGTGTGGGGGGCAAAAGTCTCGGGGCGCAGCTCCAGACGGGCTCTTGTGATCTAAATGCCGCTAAAATCAATGGCATCATCCCAGGATTGATATGCTGATTGCGCCGCTTCCCAAATAGGCCTGTGAGGTTGGAAAGGGGAGCAGAGCCGGCCAACCTGCCCCAGCCTGTGTCCGCAATGCTCCCCCTGCCGGGAAGGGCCACCCCTCGAGGGGCATCTAGCACGATGGCCAAGAGCACGATGCCAGAGCCAGGTTGCCGGGTGCGAATCCTGCCCTGGCTCTCACTAGCCGTGGGACCTGCTGAGCTAGCCATGCACCCTGAGGCTCAGTCTCAACATCTGCAAAATGGGCATTAATGGGTTAACGCAGGTAACTCCTGAGAATGTGCCTGGCTCTGGGTTGAGACTTTACTTTGAGAAGCACAAAAGGCCTGTGAAGCCCATTTCGGAGGGAACAGCCCCCACTTGGCTGCAAACACACGCTGTGCCCAGAGACCCTGCAGGCAGATTCCAACACTGCAGCCAGGTGGCCTAAGGGCCAGGTTCCCCTCGGGCTACAGGGAAGGCAGCACTTGGGCTGTGGTCCCAACAGCCAGGTGGGAGGGTGGAGGCCGCCAGCTCGGCCCCTGTGGGAGGTACACAGGCCACGCCAGGTGTGGTTCTCAGGTGACCCCCTGCTTCCCTCCCCTGCTGCAGGACAGAGCAGCGTGTAAGAGCCCGGCACTTACCGAGACCCGCCGGGAGGCCAGGGCTCCACTCTACTCTTGACGTCGGAACTGAACCAATATTTCAACCAATATTTTACACAGAAATATACCAGGAGACACTGATTATCCAAGAATAACAGGTACTGGAAACAGGTCTCAGTGACTCCACACAAAAAAGGGACAAAACCCATAGTAAAGAGTAAAGAAAAGCTTTTATTGAGACTGTTGAAGATTGAAACTAAAAATTATAAAAATATGTTTAGTTTTAGCGTATCTTTTAAGATCCATCTGCTAATTGCAACTCTGCTAATTATTACGATGAATAAAGAATAGATTATGAGTTGCCATAATCATTCCCACACTTGCCTTGGGCGAATCCATAAGAAAACAAAGCAAAGTGTGTGATCTTATGGGAAGGAGACAGCTCAGGACCTGCCTCCTTTGCCTGCGTCAGCTGCCCGAGCCCGCAAGGCCACCCCTCACTGCCAGACCCAGAGCGGACTGGTGCTGTTTGCACAGCAGAAAGCAAGCACACAATGGTGACACAGGGAACCTGAGCTTGAAGGAGACACAACGAAAGCCCACAGGGCTCCCAAGGAGGTGGGACAGACGCGCTGAAGGGAGAAACTGTGAGCCCCAGCTACGTGCCAGACAGCTGCTGGGAGATGCCTGCATCTTCCCCGACACCCCCGCTTGGGCCAGTCCCATCCCCAAGCAGGGAGCTTTCGCCTGGCCGTATGGACCAAGTACTGGGTCCTGCACGGGAGGAGATGGGGACAGACAATCTCCCCGGCCTGAGCAAGATCTGAAAACTTCAGAGATGAAAAACACCCAGACCAGAAGCGATGGGATAGCACGTGAGTTCTTCCG